CATATGCAGCTGGGCCATCAATTTAACTGTGCATATCATGCCAAGGTTCTCTTGGACAACCTTCTGTAGAATTCTGCTCAAGTAATTTGCAATAAAATAATGAGCAAGAAATCTTATTTACTGTGATGAATTACCATTAAACTAGCAATTAAAAGAAGGTAAGTAGGTACCGTATATGTTGGATTATGATAGTCATCCTTATGTAATGTTTGCAGCGTCCTAAATAGAGGATGATGTGGATCATCATATCGTCCATCACATAAGTCAAGGCCACCAACAAAAGCAATAATTTTTCTATTATTTTTCCCAACATCAGCATCCACAATTACAGTTTTCTGATGGTGTGTATAAATTGTTCCAACCTCCTGATAATTGATCGCATCAGAAAAACTTTAGCGAAGAAACAGGATAACATATAACAAAAAGGCTGGTGAAAATTCAGGGATGACTTAATTTTTGTTAACCCTAGGTCCAAGGTTCCAAACCCTTGGACTTCCTAATATGCAGCTACCAATAAAAAAAAACTAATAACAAGACTTTCAGCAGAAATAAAACTGATAAAGTATTTGATATTTGACAGGCCTAAGAGAAATTGAGAATCCATTAAAAGAGGGAAACAAACAAACAATAAATCAGAAAAAGTATGAGGGAGAAGGGCATTTACCATCAAATTTAGAAAACAAAACATAGTCCCTATTCAAAGGAAAAAAAACAGTAGCATGAACCAGAACTACATAAGGGCTCTGATTATTTTCGGAAGGTTAATCACCATCATGGTATAGATACAAAAAAGTAATCAACATTTGGTCTATGAAGTATTTTAATAAATATTCAGAAAAGAGTGTACGAAAGACCAATGGTTTTTCCCTCATTCAGCCCTACTCTTTTAAAATTTGAATGTAAATGTGCAAAAAGTTCAAAAACACTACTTCAGGCTGTCCAAAAGCTAGCTTTTCTTGAGAAGTATGAAAGATCTAAGTCAAAAACATTTTTTCCCTACTGCCAAAAATCCTGTCAACATGTGGTCAGTAGTAAATTGCCAAATGCAGCCACCACATGTTAAAATATTTGTGCAAACTGTGAATCAAAAATCTTAGTAAGGCTGATAATGATTTCTCAACAAACATAATCTACCAGTAACATCTAAATCTAATGATTCCAAACTGAATCCAAATTGATGTGTAAAGTTAGGAAGACATTTATGGGATAGAACCATTGAAACAAATGGCCATTTAATTAGAGCTAACCTTTTGCTTGACCCAACTATGTCTTTTTCCAGCCATACGGGACAAAGTAACACATGCACTGAAGAGTGTTTGAAAAAACTGCGTGTTTCCTCATCATGGGTTGCCATTATTCCATCCTGTATTTGCCAATTTAAAGAGGTTTCAAAGTGCAATCTGAAGCAGGACCACCATCACGTACCAGCCTAACTTTATGCCAAACTGACCACCCTGCAATGTTTCAAAACATACATTTTAGTCACTAACCAAAATTTGAGTATTACAATTAATATCCTGAACAACCTGTTTGCTGTCCGACTCCACCACAACCGATCGAAACCCCAAGTCCCAGGGTAACGATAAGCCCTCTAGAATGCCCCACAACTCCGCATCGAGCGCCGAGCACCTACCAATGAGCTTAGCAAATCCTGAAACCCATGCCCCCTCGCAATCCCGCAAAACGCGACGGCAAGTGACCAAGCCAGAAGGAAGACAGTGGCCACAATCAGTATTCACTTTGACCCAATCATGAGGAGGAGGATGCCAGATAGCACTCCTATTCACGCAAGCCTAATTACCTTGAAGCATTGGATGCATCGCCAGAGAGTGCACGGCTTCAGCCTGAAGACGGGTGCCCTGGTTTAGAATCTATTCCGTCGCGCAAAAATTACGATAAAAAATCGTATGGTTTCTACGTACCCACAAACACCAGACAATGGAGCCGACTAGCAAGTCCCAGTCCGTTGGTGTTCTCGAAAAATGGCCCAGATTAGTCAGATTCACTTCAATCCAACGATGAATATAATGGCCCGGGATACTTGGCGTGCGGTGGTTAAACAGGAGGCTATAAGTATCTTTAATTGTTTGACCTTTATGATGTTTGACACTACATGTAAATGTGCTAATGTAATGAATGTGTCACTTAAGAGTATATGATCGAATGAATAGATACATGTAAGAATTATATTTAATAGTTATTATTGGATTGATGAATGTATTTACCAAAGAACAGATGAAAAGATGGATGTTATTTAATTAGTGAAAATCAAATGGTTCACTTAGTGTTAAAATGGAAGAATTCATGTCGATTGAATTTGAGATTTTAATGATTATTTAACCTGTGTTCATGTTATATTTTGTTAAGAGTGTGATTTTTAAATTTGTAAAATGTTTAAATATGTTAAGACTATATTGATGAAAAAAATTGGCATTATAAGTGGTTTATTCATTTCAAAATTCTAGTTTTTTTATTAGTGATTTATTTTATTGATTCTATTCATTTTAATTTTAATTTTTTATTAATTATTCATTTTGCTTACTGTACTATCTAAGATTTTGTTTATGTTCACCCATTCAAAATTTTTGTGTGGTTAATATATATATATTCACAAAAATATTAAATGTTATGTGTAGTTAGTATATAACCATATAGTAAACAAATGAAGAAGGAATGAAATAAGTTTAAATTATATTGGCATTATGGCAGCCTCACGAGGATGGTTTGGCGGCAGCCACATTAACACAGAGACAAGTAGTGTAAACAAATTCCTCGATGCTCTGAAACAGAGTTTTCGCCTTCAACGAATCAAAAATCTCAATCCCATGACAACCTTCTTCGGCGAACTCCGCCACAACATCCACCCTACGCGCCTCCAGCATTTCCACCAACTTTGTCGATAAGTGGATCCCCGCCGTAGCCAGACACCAAGCAGCGTGGCAGCCGTCCCATCTTCTCAGCAGCCATCGGATAGCAGAACTCATGATCACGGTCAGCTCCGTCCGGCAAAGCCAAGGAGGCAAGGACCACATGAGATCATTAGCCGGTAGAGGGAAGATCCGGTCATTGAAGAATCTATTCTCCGATTCAGTCCTTTCCACACCGTTGAAGTACGGCTGATTAATTATTAGCCCTATGATTTTGATCGGCGAGAATCGATGTCCAATGCACGTAAAGCCGCGTGGAAAACCATGTTGCCACCCGCACTAGAACCGAACAAAAAACACTTGGAAAAATCCACGTACTCTTTTAGCCACGGATCACAACCGCCGATATCCACCGCCTGGTCCCGGACCCACGCGATCGTTTCCATCACATCGTCGTACGCCGAAGGAGAGCGAGTTGAGACGTGTTGGACTGGGTGCCGGTTTCTTCTGTTGCTGGAACCGAAGGGAAATGAGTTTGCCGAGTGAGTGAGCCGTCCGGGTTTTGGACGATTCTGAGTAAATTGTAGGGATCCATGGACGGTGTTGCGAAGGAGGATTGATCTTCCATGGTTTCAAGATTAGAGATAAGAGAGAAAATGGTCTATGGTGGAGATTGTAGCAAAATCAACTGGTACTTATTATGACAAGAATTATTAATTGAAATTATTTTTTTTAAGAAACGGTCCGAGTGAGGGAGCTTGTTTCCTTTCCATTTTATAGTATTTGAATCTCTATAAATATTCATGATGTTAAAGTTATTCAGAATTTTAAACATCATGTTTTTTGCCACTCAACTTTGTTTTTGTTTTTATTACTCTCAAACAGATTCATTTTATCACCTGAATTCGTATTTTGTCAATTTCAAATTATTATTTTAGGGTAGTTTTTCTTTTAAATCTTGATTTTTAAATTTTCTTTAATTCAATGACATTAGAATATTTCTTCTAAATCTAAATTATAACTTGTTTTTAAGACGATCGGACGGTAAAATTACATATCATATTAGAACGAAGTTAAAGTTTTGACTTAAATTTTATCGATTTCGAAAGAAGACAATGATAAGAAGAAGAAAAAAAATAAGGTTTAAGAAAAATGTTTAGTAATAATTAATTGCAGGGGCGGAACTTTATAGGGTTAAGGGGAGACTTTACTCTGGCCAATTATTTTTTAAGTATTAATTAATACTAAAATAATATATTTTTGAAAAAAAATAAAAAAAATTACCAAACCCTCTCAATTAAAAAATTTATATTCATGAAAATGAAAAATATTTCAACCCTCTATAATAAATTCTTAGTTCCTCCCCTGAGTAGTTGTAAATGATAGTCGACTGTAGTGAACGATAATAAAAAGTATATTAACTGATAGAAGAAGAATAATAGTAAAATATTAGTTTTATTTATACAACTAATAATTGGGTAATAAAAAATAAAATTCTACAGAGTTGAAGCTCACGGTTTCAAAGGCAAGATATAGATCCTGTGAAAAGATATCTTGAAAAATTGTGTAGAGTTGAAGCTCACGGTTTTCAGTGACAGATATAGGTCTTATGGAAAGTAAACGTTAAAATCCTGAGCATCTTGAATCAATTCGGTCATGGTCGTTTCAAAGAAGATGGGATCACCAATTAGTTTTTCTTCACTGCTGTAAGGATCATTGTAAGCTATATGATGTAATAAGCTAAACAAGCTCTCTTTTTACAAAAATAAAAAAAATATTAAATGAGTGATAAAATTAAAAAAAATAAAAATTGGATGAGAAAAGCGGAAACAAAGGCAAAGATGAGAGACCAATACGTAATTTACTATTTCAATATTTGACTCGACGATAGTCAAAGGAAAAGCCTAAGACAGATCCATTTTAGGAGCTTCGCCTATAAAAGAAACGGTCAGATTTTTGCAAACTCCGTAGGAATAATATAAATGGGTCAAAAGGTGAAGCCCCATTCGGCCATTCGAGCAAATATCAGATTTGAACCGAAACCGAAGTTGATAAAAAGATTGACTATATACAATACTACAATTGATTGAATACTGATGATTATAAAAAATTCTCGACTTTTTTTCTTTGGATAATCATTTGGACTATTTTTCGATTTGTATGTGTCATTCTTGCACACAGGTCATGTTAATCTTCTTTGTATCGTTCCAATTTTATCGAATGTCCTCGAAGGATTGAACATGAGTGTTTTGTCGGGGGCTTAGCTGAATAATAATACAGATTGAGTTCGAAAGAAACGTCAACTTCATTTCATGGCATACTCAAATTCAATATCACGTTAGGCATCAAACTTCTTATCATTCGACTCGAGAGATAGAGGAAGAGCTTCAACTTTGATGATTCTCATATCAGACCTAATCATTTGGATTTTTCCATATTGTATAACTGAATCAATGTGACATTGCAGACGTAGTGCAACATAAAAAGTCTAGGACCAAGAGTTGTCCCCCGCTACTGAATTTCATGACATCGTTGGAACAAAAATCAGCTACTTTCTAAAAGGTGCAGGACAATATGCACACTAGGGCCAAACAAACAGTTGAACAAGCTTTGGGGACAGACTATCTGTATTAAGCCCACAGTAACACAGAATTTAACCAAGGAAAGTAAAATCCCCGTCCAAAAAGGCAATACATTTGTAGCTCTACATTCACTGGGATTCCTAAACCTCAACATCATTGATAGCAAAGATCCTAAAATCCCAAGTGATACATGTAGGCAAGTCATTAGTTAAAAGGGAAGACTTTGAGACCCAGGTAAACACCATTAAAGAGGGGAAAAATACAATTGAAGAATTAAACAAGCAAAAAGTGACATTTATGAGAGAATGTGAGTAGCTTTTTTTCCTTCCATTTTTGCAACTATTTCTACATACGCAAGAAAGTGATGAAATGGCCTACAACTAGGTACAAAACTCTATAGTTAAAACCAAAATACTTGCTCGAGAAATCCAACACTGACCTAGCCTTCATCCGGGACTTGAATAGGAAATTCGATGGCGGCGAAGGTGAAAACTCGAAAGGCAAATGCGGTGGCTCTGCCTCGCCGAAAAGCATCTCCACCACCTCTTTCATGGTAAGCCGCTTACTTGGTGATCTTTGTAGACAAAGCAATGCTATGTTAATGCAAAGCAATGCTTGATCCTTATCCAGTGAATGAATAGTGAAGATACTAATTTTTTTATCCATATTATTATTATTATTATTATTTTATTTTATTATTATTATTATTATTTTTACTATTATTATTATTATTATTATTATCATTATTATTATTAAATATATATAAATAATAATTACAGACCCATTATAATTGGACGGCCCAGTTACAAACCAACCAGAACCGGTCCAAATCCAACCAGAAACCCTAAATATTGGGTTTCCAGTTAGGGTTTCCTAACCCTAATATGATCAGCCGCTCAGCTCACAGCCGTTGGATCTGATAAGATCCAACGGTCCAGATGGTGCCAGAAGGAAACCCTAGGGTTTGATACCCTAGGGCCACGCGCGCGCTCCAGCTTCCGCGGTTGCCGACAGCCCTCGCCGCCTCCGCCGCTGCCACGTCCGAATGAAGGCTCCAGAAGATCATACCAGCCGTCCATGCAAGGCTACGGGGTGAGTCACCACTGGTAGTCCGGTGACTCACCGAGAGCCCTTCTTCGGACCGGTCCGACGGCTACAACGGTGGTGGCTATAAAAGCCACCACCCCACCTGCGAAAAAAAAGACAGAGACAGAGACAGAACCGGAGAGAAAAAAAAACAGAGAAAAGAAAAAAAAAACAAACTAATACCAACGATCTCAGCAGCAAAGAACCAGAAGAAAAAAAAAAGAAAAAGAAAAGGAGAAGAGACTTACCGAGGAAGCTCCGACTACCAGATCTCACCGGAACCTTCGAAACAACGAAGGTACTTTTGATTTGCTCCGATTGGGAGCCTTTAGGAAGAAATAACACCGGAACCGTCCTTAGGACGGTCCGATCTATATATAGTGTAAAAATCTTTTTTTCCGGCTTCCCGAACGACGTCGTTTCGGGAAGGACTATGCGCGTAATTATGAAATAGTTAAACCCCGTCCGCAGTCCTCCGAATTTGTAAAATTTACATTTTAGTCACTAAATTGAATTTATAATAATTTTAATTCAGTCTTTGAATTTTAATTTTATTCATTTTAGTCCTTTTTATTAAAATAATATATTTAGGATAAATAGCAGATTTAATCCCTTAATTTTAATAAATAAATTTTTATCCCTAGTAATCCCTATAATTTCAATTAATTATTAGATTTAATTTTATTTTATTATAATTTAGTTATTTATTTTATATGTTTAATTTAACTGCTTAAAATACATGTTTTAGTGATTTTTTTATTATATGGTTAAATATTTTTATATTCATAAATATATAATAATAATTTTTAAATATTTATTTTTAATATCGAAGAAAAAGACAGTCTTAATACACTGGATGTCCTATTCTGATATTTTAAAATTAAAAAGTAAACAATATTATTTAAATTAATATTTATCAATATCAAAGAAAAGAGCTGTCTTAAGGCACCTAGAAGTTCTTTTCGGATATTTTTAAATAAATATAATTTTGAAAATAATAGAATTATAAATTAAATATATTTTTGAATTTTTTAAAATTTTAATAATAGAGACAATTTATAATTGAAAAGTACCAATTTTGGGCGTTGTAGGGGTGCTAATCCTTCCCTAAACGTAACCGACCACGAATCCCTTTTTATTACTAAAAAAGAACGAATTTTTGGTTATAAACGCAGATCAGTTTAATTTTTTAATTGATGTTTTCTTTAAACTCTTTTAAAAGATATTTTTTAGGTATTCGACCTACCTGACCCAAAAGGTCGATGGCGACTCTCAAATTATTTGCAAAATTATTTATTCACATCAATTTCCCCGCCAAAATTTAATATTTCGTGCCCGGACGAAAACCGGTTACGACAAATAGAAGACTTTTTATTACTAATCAAATCTCTCCCACTTTCTACACTAACCTTATCAAACATACCTTCAGATAAAACACTCCATTTTTCCAATCCCATCTCCGGTGACAAAACCGGCGACGCCTCAGAATTCAAAACTCTAAGTACACAGCTTTTGGGGTCGCGTGACCTGAGCTGAATGGAGTATCGTGCATTGTTTGCTTTTGTTGTTGGTATCTGCTTGTTTTCTTCGGATTTTCAACTCTTTAATTATTATTATTTTGAATTTTTTATAGTTAGAAAAAACAGTGTGCAGCATACGTTATCACAGGCTGCGCAGCACCTTAACTGGGGTTTGACATATTGGATACTGTTCTTGTAAACATCAAAATTGTAGTACCGTGTATCTTCTTCCTTGAAGCTACTTTTCTATAAATTAACATATTATTTCTAATAAAAGCTAATTCACTCGTTAATACAATATTTTTTTAATAATTCAAACCTTGTATTTAATATTTTTTATATTTAATGAATTTTATTTTGATTAATACTATAACTATTATAATAATTAGAAGGTTTTATTTAACAAAATATTTTTATTTTCAAATTATAAAACAAGACTATCCTTTATACATGAGATGACTAAAGCAGAAAAGGTAAAAGTGGAAAAGAGAAGGCGTTGGCGGGTAGTTTTTTTTTTTACTTTTCACTGACCTCGCTAAAAGGACTCGAACCGTACAAAATCAGAAAGTAAAAATAATACAGAGGGAAAAGAGAAGGAAAACATGTTTACAGCTTGCAACGTAGAGTTGATGCGAAAAGAGGGTGAGATCATGCCAATCCCACTGCACTGTTTCATTATTTCATTTGTTTTATCACATGGTTTTGTGTCAACAAACAAAGTCTTCCAACCCACGCTTGTAGGGGGTGGTTTTGGCTATAACTGCCTGGGCACGGTGCAGTGCTATTCCCCGTGATCGTCAGCGATATTTCCCAGGTCGCTGTTGAATGTTATTAGTTAACAGTTGTTTCTGTTGCAATTAAAAATCCGAATATTACTTGTTTCTTGCCCCAAACAGCCGTTGTTTTATTCACAAATCACAATTAGGGGTAATTAAATATGGGTCTGAACGTGGTAATATTCCCTCCAAGATCGTGTATGATACGAAAGCTTTTTCATAATACCACACATTATTTTTAGTTTTTGGTTTGGGATCAGGTCGTTTCGTTGATGACAAATCTAGGAGTCAGATCTGTTTAGACAGCAAAAGGACGGTTTTCTTCCGGATCTGCTTTAGTTTGCTTGATTTGGACACTTACTTAGGGGATGTCTAAAATATGGTATCCTAATATACGGTTTAAGAAAAACGCTATCAAAAATATTAATAATTTTATAATATTTTTTATAAAATGTTATTTAAAATATTATTTTTTCTATCGAAAATATTAATTTTAGACTATACTTAAAATATTAATTTTCTATTGAAAATGTTAATATGAGTAATATTTATTTTAGGTAGCGAAATTAATATTTTCAATATAAAAAATAATATTTTAGGTAACACTTTATAAGAAATCTTAAAAAAATATTAAAATTTCCGGTAATATATTTCTTTAACCATATATTAAACTGTCGTACAACAAAATTACCCTTTATTTACACGAATCGGACAAAAGACTTGTATATAGATATTATTTTCAATCATTTTCATTTGTGCTTAAAAAATTCATGCATGAACAATGCGAACTGTAAAAAAAATTGACGAAAACTTGTTAATAAGACATTTTAAAATTTTGAGGTTCCGAATATTTCATTAAACAACCATCGTTGACCAAAGCTGTCTTCGACTGTCATACTGATATAAGTCTAAACAAGTTAAAAAAATCGACCCAAGAATAAGGAAATAAAACACACTAGTTCCCCATGATAAACCTGAGGAATCAGTTGACAAACTAGTTTTATTCGAACGATTATTACATAGTTACAAACAGAGATTCGGATACAGTGGCTACCGCAACTAAAACACTATGCCGGAGAATAAACAATATTTCTGAAATTGAATTCCACACTAACAGAAGGAACAAAAAGAAGCAAAGTGTAATAATGAACAAGTATTACCGGTTTTGTGCTCTGCATAATTACTGCATGTTGCATACTACAAACTGAAAGTCCAAATTCACATGCTTAACTCAACAAAGTGGCTATTCACTGGAGTGGCTTTGCACCACCATTTTCTTGGATGCTATTCACTGGAGTTGAGGATCCACTTCTCTTGCTGGAATGGCCAGTGAAGGTCCTGCCCATGAACTTTCCAGCTTTGCTCAGTCCACTGCCAACAGCTCCAAGGCCACTCCCGACAATCCCAACTCCGGCACCGACACCACTTCCCACTAGTCCAACTCCAGATCCAACCAATGATGCTGCTCCGTCAAGAGCGTCCATTGTACTTCCTATGACTCCAGCTTCTTTCAATCTCTTTCTTTCTTCGAGGATTCTCTTCTCTTCTTCTAAAGCAACCAGTTGTTCCTCCTTGCTAAACTTATGGTACAAAAGCTGAAAATACAAAGAAAAACTATAGTTATCCACAAACGAGACACCAGACCAAAAATAAACAACGAAATCTCTATTCGTCATCCCTGCATTTGGTGTTATCACATAAAACATCAAATTGATTAAGCTAGAAGCGAAGGAGCATATAGATGATTTAATGACATGAGAAGCAACTATAATGCCGCACCTGAACACAAGCCATAGAAAACCGTAAAAAGGACGTGTACCTTAATGGTGCAGTTTCCTCTGTCCTTCTTATCTTTTACTTTAAGTGTATCAAGTGAGGCTAGAAGGCTCAGAGTGACCTCCTTTGGTATCTCTGGTTCCAGTTCAATCAAACGGAGTTTTGCGATTCCTAATCTCTTGTCTTGCCCAATGTCCTGGTCAAAAACCTATTCCAAGCCAATAATGAACTGCGATGAGTATATATGTAAAATCTCCTCTCTTTTTTAAACAAGAGGGAAGGAGAGGAGACTCTGAACATGACCACAATATAGAAAATACAAGGTAAAATGCCATTCTGTCGAGAAAACTTAACTTCTAAGATTTTCAACATTAGAATTCAGTAGAAATGCAATTACGACAAAATAAGCAAAAAGAGGAACAAAGGATGCGGTTCAGAACCTCTACAGTTAGTGCTTGTGTCTCTCTGTCTTCTGCAATCAACTCAAATGTTTGATTCCAAACAGGATTCAGGTTGTTGTCGATGACTTTTGTTTTAACCTTGAACAGAGGACGAATGTGAACAACCACATAAGGATCAGACTTTCCAATCATTTCCATGTTCTTCAAATCATTAGCTTTGACAACTGTGACTGTCAGCTTTCCCTCTGGTTTAAGCTCTAATTCACTGCACAACAAAAGAAGAAATTATATTCATGCAGCATACCAAAAAATTATTAAAACTCAAAATGAACAAATATAGAACTTGGGTTTTTCTTCCCCAACATATTGCATTTTCCCCTCCTGCAATGGGAAAACAGAACAGCCACTGAAGTCTAAAATTACCTGGTATCAACTGGTATACCACCAATCGGAACAACAATTCTGTGTGGCCACTGAAGCATGTCAGTGACAATTGTATTCACAGTATCCTACAAAATACAATAAGAGTGGAGCAATCACCAATATTAATGAACAAGCATAAGAATATCAAATCAATCAAAGTGCGTGAACGGGTAAAGAAGTAAAAGCAGTAAACTTACATCAATCATATCTGAAATTCCTGGAATTGCTGTTAAGCTTCCACCAACAGCCTTCAGAGTGTAATCAATTCTAGGTTTTGGCTGATTGATTTTGGAAAAGGAATTAGTCATTCCAACAGATAGCATAAGGTAGGTTTATCATGACCGTAAATAACTTCCCACTTCACATGCTTTGGACCTTTGATTAGTCACTTTTTCATACCAAAAGTCAAATGAAAACAATATATATATATATATATATGTATATAAAAAAGAAAGTTAAATAGTCCGAGCCATGTTGTAATCTATACTAGTTAAAACCATGGATAGCCCCCTCTTTCAGAAATTAATAAAATTAAGGATCAGATTCAAAATAATCTTACAACATAGCAAGCAGCATGCGCCATTAATGCAAATTAACCAGTTGTTTCTAGATAACATCTGAACAGTTTCATTAACCAGAACATCTATATAAACATGAGTACACTTGAAAGTGATATTACTCTAATGGTACCTCCGAAAGGAGAGCAACAACTACAGAAGAAATACAGGGTATCTCTTCAGCAAGCTGGAAGATAACACGAATGACAGTGAAAACTTGAAGATCCTTCAACTGCATCACAGAATAACAGAATAGCATTAAACTAATAGTCTCACGTCATAAAATTTAAATTTCAAAGATGGCAGAAGTATAATGTTATGTATGGTATTCAAACAAATTACATTTAAATTAAATATACTTAAAAAACTTGACAGGTTGTTGATGTACCAACCTGAATTGGAATGGAAGCAACAAGTGCAGCTTCAACACCTAAAATTATACTAGGATCACCGCCCCACCGAAAATCAATATCCATTGTAATCTGACCTTTCTTAAGGCTCTGGACACGAATACCTACATTCCATAACAAATCATGCAGGTAGAAAATGATTAAAAGGAGGATTTTGAACTAATTTATAGGACTCTAAAAAAAATCTGACCAATAAAATGGCCCCTGGAAACAACCAACCATCTCTTAACATGTATTGAGTTTGGTGGCCTATGCAACTTCCAGAAAAACTAAGTTTAAGATCTCCTTCATGAGACTGCAACATATAAGTAGGCATAATCTCCGCATCAACTTAGTTGACTATGGAAAAGGGGAAATCTGAGTTGAATAAACTAAAAGGCAGACAAAGCTAACCAGAAAAGGTGACAATTAAGAAAAGCAATTGGACAGACAATCATGGCCCAAAGAATCTCATTTTCCTTTCAGAAGATACAGAGTCTCTTCAAGTAAATGATTGATATTTGATAGAATAGGAACTCAAGCATGTAGATATGATGTATTGATGTATAGCCAGCATGTATAAGGACTCCTTCGGAGTTGGGACTTGTGGACATGGAAACCACCACTATTGGAAATAAGCTCATTCTCCATGAGTAATACCTTCAATCTTGGGAGCGACAGTGCCAAGTGACAATTTGCTAAACTTTAGTGATGTAATTCCTGGAGGTCGGTATTCTTCCAAGAGGGGTTCAACAGATTCTTTGATGACCGCAGATGCTGCCTGATAGTAGAACATTAAATAAACCTTTGGCTCAATACTTAACACATAGAATATACTCATTGCAGAAAGACATTTAAACTTTATAAAAGATATTTCATCCCTCATGCATGTCCCTTTCCCAAAAATCAGTGAACAGAAATACTCAATTTGGCCCCACGACCATTATTGTATCTATAATGTCATAATGTAGGTTTATGATTACCTACTACCAAAAAAGTTCAATTAAAGTTGCATATAAAACAAGTAAAACTATTTCAATTCAAAAAACATCAAAAGAGTTGAATAAGCTGCCTAAATCTAATATATTCCACACTTCAAGTCCAAACTTTCAGTTACACGTCACTCACACAGAAGCTTTCAGTCTACAGAGCTAAGTTCTTTGGTTTTACCAGCATAGTCATAAGTCTCTCTTCAGCCTTCTTGAATAACAACTATTATAAATCTTATTGCAAAATCCAGCAGCTTACCTCTGCTACAGAAGGCCATAATTTACTCAATTGCTTGTTCAGCCATTTCACCTGCAAAATTAACCATTGTATAAATTGTAAGCAACCATACTAAATGTCCCTTTATAGAAAAAATGAATGTACCTCTCTCTATGCCCAACACATGCAGAATTGAAGATGTTCTAGTCTTTTTCTGGCCAAAAAAGGGGTATCTAGTCTTTATATGCATATTCTAGATCATAGAAGTCAACGATAGGATATTTCTTCCAAGTTTAAGGTATCTAGTCTTTATATAGCCCTTTAAGAAAATTAAAATCATCAGTTAATTGGAGATAATGATTCAGGAAAAGGAATAAATTCTACAATTAAGTTCAAGGGCTCAAGACATACAGCTAAAAAACAAAGCATATTCCAAACTTCATCAGAAGAAAAGAATTTTCACTTTTACAAGTGAATAAAGAGAAAATAGTTTCCTTCAAGTTGAATCAAGTGCATAAAACCTTCAAGTTATATATACGAGTCATTTTAGCCTAAGAGAAGGATAACAGAACTTTTTAATCTGGCACCATTACACTGACCTGTTCATAGACAGGGAAAGATATCCATTCAGGGTAATTATCACCACAAATTTTTCTCAGATCATCTCTGTTGAGAGCCCCAAGAACTTTTATATCAGCTGCCTGTCCAAGAAGACAAGTAAAACTATTAATAGGCATCCAGAAACCCAAATATGTATAAAAGTGAAAAGATGAAGTCGTCACGGGATCTCAATAACCCTAGTGAAAGACAAACTAAAATGTAGATCCATTGCTGAATAGAATGCAAATATTTCACTCATAATTGTGCATCAAGCACTAAAAAACATGATAAATTGAAACACGATCCAAGAGAGCATAGTACAGCAGAAGACATACCCACCAGCATATGCTAAATTTCTTTTTACTGCCCACCCATGTATAATCAGATTTCAAATGAGAACGGAAAATAGTAAAATAAATAATAAAATAAATCCTCTTTCATCCTAAAGGATGCTCCACCTGATACATGGTTCTCTTAACTCAAAACACAGATGACAGAACTTTAGGGCCATGTTGGTTTAGGTTGAATAAAAAAATATGGTCTTCACTACTTCACTGGCCCCAATTGACATCATATCAACTGCCTCGGAGTTCTGCACAACTTTCAACTTAGGCAATTCTTAAGTTCCGAAGTCCTAACTACAAACTACAATTGAAAACTTGGCCTTGGTTGCTTGGTTTGTAATACAAGGGCAATTATACTTAATCAGTTTCCAACAACTAATGATTTTCTTTCACTAATTTGAACAATTACCGGGGGGGAAATTAGCAAGACGTTTAACGAACTTCGGTCAATTTTATCGAACGAATAAGCAACTGAACTACACAGATATCTACGCAGATAAACAACTTCAACAGAAAAAGGGAAATTAGCATACCTTAGCGATTCGCTTAGTGCTTCGGTACCTCATCATATGACGCCAACCAGCCATCAACGAAATTCCGAAGATCAACCCCATCAAAATACCCGAAATCAGCCCCATTTTCCTGGAATCCAAACAGAAATCATCTTCGGGAAACACACGAAAAAAAAACTGCAAAATAAATAGTTAACGTACAGCCGAAACAATTATAAAAAAAAACAAAGAAACAAAGTCAAATGAAAATTGGAGATCGGCAATGAGAGAGGAAAACGAAATCAAGTTAAAAGAAAACTTCAACTCTTCTTTTCTTAGTTGTGAAACTTACTCCAAATAATTGAGTACCAGTGATTTAATCTCGCTTCTGTGCAGATTTAAAAAAATACAATTAATCGGTTTCAAACAAAAAAGTCTATCAAAGGAGTTGGATGTGGGCGTTGGCACCGGAAATGAACAGTGGAAATCGAAAAGATGGAAGCATTCAAGTTAGTAGGCCATGGGCGGACAGGATGAGGATCAATGAAAGAGAATGGACAATTCAGAGACTATTTTCTTTGTCTTTTTAATCTTCCGCATTTAATTTTCTCGTGCTTTTCTAAATCCGCGTCTGTCAGTTTTGTTTGTTGTAATAATAATTAATTTTAAATTAAATAAATATCTAGGAGGAGGCGTGGTTTCCAAAAAATCGAAATTTATATTTGGGTAAATTACAAATTTGATAACTAAATTTTGATATGATTTCTATTTTAGTCATCTTACTTTTAAAATTTTCAATTTGCTCACTCAATTTTATAGATTGATTTTTTTTGTCACTCAATTGTTAATTCCATAACAGTGTTATGACGTGGTATATTCTAATATTTATATATTGAATTTTAATATTTTTTGAAATTTATAATGTGAAATTAAAAATCTAAATGGGAATCAATCTCACTTCAAAAATACCTCTCTTTATCTCATTGTTCATATTTCTTAATAAAAAAACATTGTTCATTTTCTCTCTTTTTCATATGAATCTCTCTCTCATGTATGGCCTCTACTTTTGTTTAGTTTTTTATACTAAAAAACGTAAGCTACATTGGCCTGCACATGTTGTATGAGATATTAAGAGGGGAGTAGTGACAAATTTGAATTTTATTCTTGATCAGTTTTCTTTTAGAAAATCAAAGGTTTCTTCCATGTTTTAAATATAAAAAAATGCCATTTTGACCATATTTTATTTAAGGGTGAAACCCAAATTTATATGGATTGCTCAAATTTCACCAAAGTTGTTGGTTCCGAAGTTGTTTCAAGTTTCACAATATGATATCAAGGCCCAGGGGCCAACTCGGTTTGATATGGGAGTTAATCGAAACACCATTTTATAGTCCATTTGCTTCAATTCAGTGTCTATATTTGCTTAGTCATGTTGCTTATGCTCTTTAGGGAGTGAATTTACAAAGGAATGAACATTATTCTGGTTAAGATTTTCTGGAGATAGAAAAAATTAGAGAAGCGTTACAAGTTTGAGCTCTTTTAAGTTATGCTTTGTTTTGGTATTTTCATTCAAAATCACTATTGACGCCTCCTTCATGCTAGTAACATTATCACCATTCAAAACCGAGCTTTATGAAACGCAAAACTCATTCAATATATGTTCTGTTTTGGTATTTTCATTTCCAGACCCTTGTACCAGCTCTTATAAGTTATAACCGTAATTTTGTTTGTAGCCAATCGTAGAGATAACTTGGTCTTGCTCATTCTTTCGATTTTCTCAAGCTCGTCGTGTTGCAAATTAATGAAACTTACTGTCATAGTTGTTGAGTTAGTATTTGCTTAAAAAATCTATTCTGTTTGAAGTTTTCCTTTTATTTAGGAAGTTGATGTTAGTTTCCTTTTATTTAGGAGTTAGTGGCTTTTATTTAGGCAAACAAACTCAGAAGACACGTTTATGTTAGTTGAGATATTTTAGTGCATTTTTTAGTATTTGTAAAGCTGTAATCGTTGTTTGATTTATTCATTGAGTAATAAAAGTTCAGTTTCAAAAAATCTGTTTACTTTCTCTTTGGTTGCTTATTGTCTTTATATTTGTTTCATGGTATCAGAGCCAAGTTGCTTATTAAGTGTTTGATTTTATTACTCAATAAAGATGAATAGTAGAAACAATGTCTTTGTAGATAAACTTGTTGGTAACAATTATAGTTACTGGAACCTATGCATGGGAGCTTATCTATAATGGCAGGATTTGTGGGATCTTATCTCTGATGATGAAGTTGTAATTCCAAAAGATACACCACAGAATGACGAGTTGCTGAGGAAGTGGAAGATTAAGTGTGGCAAATCTTTGTTTACTTAGCGAATATCAATCAGTCAAGAGTACATAGAGCACGTTCGTGATGTGAAGTCGCCAAAGCAAGTGTGAGAGACACTTGAAAGGTTGTTCAATCAAAATAAGACAATAAGGCTGCAGTAATTAGAGAATGAACTTGTTGGGATGACTCAACACAATCTTTTAGTTTCAAAATATTTTCTGAAACTTAAAACCTTGTGTTCTGAAATTTAAGAATTGGATACAGATGAGTCGATGAATGAAGCGTGTTTGCGTCGTTATCTTATTCGTGGATTGCGGAAAGAGTTTATGCCCTTTATCTCCTCGATACAAGGGTGGGCAAATCAACCTTCTATTATTGAGCTGAAGAATCTACTCTCAAATCAGGAAGCATTGGTGAAATAAATTGGCGGCAACAACAAGTTGTCTCTCTCTCAAGTGGAGGATATTCTTTACACAAAAAACAAAGCAAAAAGCAATTATTCCTCCAAGTATGCTTCAGGTGACAGTACGCAATTCAAAACTGAATGGCAGTCCAGAGGTAATTCCAAAAGTTGTTATAGGTATGGAAAGTCGGGACACTTAAAGCGCGATTTTCGTGTGAAGGTGGTGTGTAATCGATGTGGAAAATCATGCCATATTAAACAAAATTGCCGTGTAAATCTCACAAGAGCAAATGTTACCCATGAAACTAGTGAGTCTGAACAACTCAAATGGGAGCAATGCTTATCCACTGAAGTTGTTGATCAACTTGTTGTTGTGAATTCTGTTGTGCAACAAACCAATGCAGAACCATATACTAATGCTTCCATCGACTATAACAAGGATTGGTTTATTGATTCTGGTTGCTCTCATCATGCAACGAGACATGATCATGTACTCTCTAATGTTTGTCCGCATTATGGAAACAGAGTTATTGTTACAACTGATAATTTATTACATTCTATCATGAACAAATTACAGTTCGATGTCAAGAAAGATATTTCCAATGCCGGTGGCATTTCTCTCGAAGAAATTTATCATGTTTCAGGCTTAAAGAATAATCTTGCTTCAGTTTCTCATATTGTTGATTCTGGGAGGTATGTTCTTTTTGGTCCAGATGATGTGAAAATTATTTCCAACATAAAACACCTTCAAGTTGATGTTTTATTTACTAAAAAAAGAAAAGAGTCACTCTATGTATTGTCTGCAAGTGATGTATATGTGGAAAAGACATGTCAGAATGAAAGTGGGACACTTTGGCATGCTCGGTTAGATCATGTTGGTTATCAATTGCTGCATAAAATCTCTACAAAGAAGCTTCTTGATGGTGTTCCTCTTTTTAAAGAAATTCATCAATATGTGGTTTGTCCTGGTTGCCAATATGGAAAATCACATCGTCTTCCTTTCCCGAATTCGAATAATAGAGCTACTGTTGCACTACAACGGGTACATTCAGATCTGATGGGGCAAACTAGAATACCCAGTTACAATGGTTTTCATTATGTTTGTGGATGATTTTTCTCGGTTCACTTGGGTGTTTTTCTTGGAACACAAAAGTGAGACTTTCTCCAAGTTTATTCAGTTTAAGGAGCAGGTGGAGAAAGAATTTAGGTTGCATATAAAGTGTCTACGCACCGATAATGGAGTAGAATACATGTCTTATCAATTCCTAAATTATTGTAGAAAACATGGCATTCGGCGTCAAATGACTTGTCTAGAAAGTCCACAGCAAAATGGAGTTGCTGAGTACAAATTGACACATCTCACATCCATGTGCTTATCATGGTTGCATGCAAAGAACCTTTCGAGAGAGCAATGGGCAGCAGTTATTCAATTAGCTTGTCATGTTATAAATCGTCTACCTCTGTGACCAGGGACAAAATCATCTCCTTTTGAAGCACTATACCATCACAAACCCAATGCGAGCTATTTTCAAGTTTTTGGCTCAGTTTACTATGTCCATGTTTCAAAAAATAATCAGACTAAACTTGACCCAAGGGCAAGGTGTTGTATTTTTGTTGGTTATGACACTTATAGGAAATGATGGAGATGTATGGATCCAGAAATAAAGAAAGTTGTTGTTCCTCGTGATGTGGTGTTTGATAAAGTTTCATCACATCAGATTGATACAGATACAAATAGAGATATGACTAATCTTTTCCATTTTTTGGTGATGATGCATCTAATGAAAGGGGAGCAGTTCTACTCCTTCTGGAGAAAATATTCACCAAGATGAGATTATTGGGACTGCTATTTGGAGGTCTTTTAGGCAAAGAAAACAACCTGATTATTTAACTGATTATGAAGTTCAGTTAAATCATTTCTCTATTGTGTCTTGTTTTCTTATGGGAGATTCATATGTTAATGGGCCTAATTTTTACAATGAAGCTAAATGTATTTTTGAATATGAAGAAGCAATGTGGGAGGAAATATCAGCTTTAAACAATAACTGCACATGGGAACTTGTTCCGAAGCCAAAGAATGTTGAATTAGTTACTTGTAAATGGGTTTACAAGTTGAAGAAAATGGTTGATGACACTATCGATAGGTATAAAGCTTGTCTTGTTGCTCATGGTTTTTCTCAACAATATGGTCTAGAACTAGGTTACGAGGAAACTTTCAGCCTTGTTGCTAAAATGGTGATAATTCGAACAATTATATCACTGGCTGCTTACAAAGGCTGGAAATTATGGCAATTAGACGTGAAAAATGCATTTCTTCATGGAGAGTTGGATAGAGATATCTTTATGGAGCAACCATATGGATTCATTTCTAAGGAGTTTCCTGATTATGTGTGGCGACTCAAGAAGGTTTTGTATGGCCTCAAACAAGCTCCACGTGCTTGGTATGGTAAAAACGCTCAATACCTTGATTTTTGTGGTTTCAAGTCTTCAAGTGAATATTCAAGCTTATTTGTTAAGAAAACATCTGCAGTGTGCATAATGCTCATTCTTTATGTAGATGACATGACCATTACTGGTGACGACAATGCTGAAATAACTCGTCTTCGGGATGCTCTGTCTCTTCGATTTAAAATGAAGAGTTTGGGAGAGGTTAGTTATTTTATTGGATTGGAGGTTAAAAGGTCAAATTATAATATCCTAAATTTTGAAATGGTGATTGGAATGTAAATTTTTAAAGTTTAGAGACTAAAGTATAAAGTTGTAAAAGTTTAAGGACTAAAAATATAAAATTTTAAAAGTTAAAATTTTGGATTTGTAAATTAGTAGTTTAGATCAAGACAATTAGTTTAGAGGGTTTCAAAATTTTGATATGCAGTTTGCATACAAGTTTAATAAAGGATAAAGATCAATATATTATTCGAA